ACTATATTTTAATTGTTAACACTTTTCTTGTATGTCGCTGTGCCAGCACTGTCAAATATTATAAATAATTATGTAAATTCGGACAATATAGAACTAACTTACATCATGTATAAATTAATTGACAAAATAGTAGGGATGCACGATATATCGGCCACCATATCGGTTTCGGCCGATAAATGCTCATTTTTTCTGTTATCGGTATCGGCCCGATAAGAAAATTTGGCCGATATCTTAAAGCCGATAAATAATGCATTATTTCCTTCAGAGACACTTGACATGAGATGACTTGTTTGCATTATTTATGTATTATTTTATTTATTTGTAATACTTTTTATGACTAAATTTGGTAATAGGAGAGTAACATTATTTTAACAACGTACACGGTTCAAACTAGGCTGCTTATGTTGAAGTGTTTGGGATGTGGCTTTTAATGATGAGACCTTTTTTATAATCAGGCTCTCAAAAAGTATATAAAAATTTGGATATAGATTTATCAGCCAACATATCGTTTATCGGCTTTCAAATAAAAAAATGATCGGTTATCAGTATCGGCCAAAATGTTCATATCGGTGCATCCCTACAAAATAGAAGCATAGCTGTTTTAATTATATAAAACTACAAAGTATATTTGCATTTATTCCTTTCTCTTGTGCTGTTTGGTACATTCAATATAATAAATCATAAACTTAAACCTACAGATCATATATGACACTAACCAATATTTTGCCATTATAGCCCTAAAACATGAAATAATACAGACTTTTAAAATGTCAAGCAGCAAAAAATAGTAAATCTCATATAATTTTTCTGTATTAATATTAAATTAAATATTACAAATTTACTTCTATGAATAATTTGAGAAAATAAGGGAAAATTATATAACAGTGTATAAACTATTTTGAGAGCAAATGAAATGAAACCAAAGAACATTCTTGTGATCATTTTTTATTAAACATTGATTTTATGCAAATTTGTGGGACATATTGTGTCTTAAGCATCAGTGTCATGCTTAATTTTTCTCTCTGCAGATAAAAGACAAAGCTATTAAAACCAGCAGTGAAAGCAGTGATGGAAAGGATCCGAACCCCTGGATTGGAGTGGTACCTGTCCAGATAAAGGAAGGCACAGTTTCCAGTAACAGCAACCAGGAGTCGTTTGCTGCCTCTGTGGTCAATAAGGTATTCAAAATAATGACTTAAGCATGGTGACTAGGTAGTACTGATCAAACTGACAGATCTTTCCTCCATAGATGAAGCGTGCTCTTGTTTTGGGTGCATCTGCTTTGATCATCCTGGCTTTAAACCAGAATACTGGCCGAGAGGTGAGAGCTTTGCTGCTCCGATCCATAAACCTTCAGCTGATCTCATAATGGTTTTTAGATATGTATAAGTAGTATTAAGAAAAAAACTGTTCTTCCTCTGTAGATGGATCTCTCTCAGGTCCTCTCAAAGCCAATCATTATCATTCAGACATCAGAAAACGTCACTAAGCTCATTGGAGCACTCCTCAGGTAATCCTCAGTCATTAAATTATCGATTTCTTTTGAGTAAATGATATACTGAATTTAGGAATGTGTCTTATTTTGACTTTTATTCAATTAGGGGCCTTCACGCAACAGCAAAAATCACTTACAAGTCTTTTCTACAGGATAGTCTGGTAAGATTTTACTCCTATGTATCCTAGTTTCACGCATGCCGTGGTTCATTAGTGTAGGAGTGTGATATTTTTAAATGTTGTGTCAAAGGGGGCCACCTTGACCCTGTGGTCCAGCTGTGGCCGTTCAAGAGGAGGGTTGTACGGGGAATGGCAAGGGGTCATCTGCACCGGGGAGACCAACTCTCAGGTCCAGGTATGAGTGTTATGAAGACATCTCTTATTATCCAGGGTTACAGCTCAAAATATGTCAACACTGTCATGTAATCATCTTGTTTCTAAAAGGGATAGTTCACGCAAAAATGAAAAAGCTGTCATGGTTTATGGGTTTGGAAGGGCATATGATGACAGAATTTTCATTTCTGGGTAACTATCCCTTAATGCTCCATGTCATTTGTAAAAATTAAAATGCAGTTGTATTAGTCAGCAAGGAGAATTTCTCTTCTTTTTAATTTCCTTTTTGTCCATCTGTCCAGAAATATCTCCAGCAGCTCTGGAACACTGTCGTTCTGGTGGCCCTGGTCCTCTCCACAGGGGTCATAGTTCATGCACGCTGGCAGTACCAGGGCAACCAGTTTAATGATGATTTAGAGGTGAACACTGTTTTTGTGTTAAAAAGTTAGAAACCTTTTCAAAAGTTCATGACACCCATGTCACTAATTGTGAAGAAAGAAGCAAGTGGAGACTGGAAGGAAATCCTGTCAATAAACAAAAGTTTTGAGTCAGTAAGATTTTTTTAGAAGTTTTGTTCAGTAAGAATGCACTAAATTGATCAAAATTGACATTAATAATGTTACCAAAAAAAATCTAGAATGGAATTTTCTGTTCATCAAGGAATCCTGAAAGA